CCAAGCCTGCAGCTATTAGAAAACAGCCACATCTAGTAGTTTCTCTATAGCAGGCTAAATACCCCAGGCTCCTTCAACCATTTAGACTACTCTGGTTTCTACATAGCCATCTGAAAGGGGACACAAGCCCCTCAGCCATGGTCAAGGCAAGAAACACCCTCCCTCCCCACCACAGGATTCCCAGAGCCCCAACCCTTGTCGCCGGGGTTTCTGTGGGTTTCCATGAACACAGCTGGCTTTCCCACCTCCGTCCTTGGCAGCCACTCCACACTCCTGACTCATCTCAGCCCACAAGCAGTGAGGAGCTCCAACTCTTTTCCTCATGAACCGCTGCTAAGCCACATCTCTCCCACCTGATTTTAAGCTGAAGTGCCGGGATTTATATTTGTCCCAGAAGTTTCATCTGGCCTGAGGCCACCTATCATCCAGCCTACAGAGGAGGGCTTCTGGTTCCTAATCTGACATCTGAACTCTCTTCTGGCTGACAGAGAAGTCTGATGTCGAAGTTTGATCTTCCAATCTTCTGGGCAGAGCTAGGGACACCTCAACTGCAGTCAGAGAGGTCTCCTGCCAGGGTGGGGTCGTGCTCCTTCGAGTGGGCTCTTTTTTTTTCCCTTTTGGCTGCACCAAATGACATGGGGGATCTTAGTTCCCCAACCAGGGATAGAACTCCTGCAGTAGAAGCACAGAGTCTTAACCACTGGACTACCAGAGAAGTCCTCCTTCGTGTGGACTCCTGATGTGTTGAGGGGGCCACAAAGCCCCCAGGGCAGTGGAAGTCTTGTGATCAAGTACAGACACATGGCACCTGAGAAAGCCTCCCCTTCCGGTGATCACTCTGGTAACGGATTTTAAAATTGGCGTGGAACGTTATAGCTCAGAAGTTCCCACACGTAGAGAACCATCAGGATCATATGGGGGGACTTAAAGAAACAAATTCCCAGCTCCAGTGTTTCTCAACCCGTCAGTTCAGGGTGGAGCCCGAGAATTTGTGTTGTTTTTTTAGGCTCTGGGGTTATTGAATCCATACTGGCTCTTAACGATCCCCACTGCCCCTTCTGAACGCCCACAGACAATTGCTTCCAGAAGGACACGTCTCCTTGGCTCTCTTGCGAGGGCCTCTCTGCCCAGACTGGGCCATGGTCCTCTGACCGTGGGGTCTGGCCCAGAGCAGACACCAGTTCTTTAACTGATGACCCAGCAAAGCTGGGGGCTGGAGGAGGGGTGAGCCTCCAGGCGTTCCCTCCCTCGGGGTGCCTCCCCTGCCCTGGCCCTCCGGTCCGTCACCCCACCGTGGCTCCTTGGTGCTGCAGAATGGAGAAGACCGGGCAGGATGGGAAGCGAATGGGGCTGCCTTCTCTGAGGCTCCACCTCAGGGCTGGTATTAGGGTGAGGTGAGGGAGGCCCTGACCTCCGGTCTAACCCTTAAAATGGCACCAGTGAAAAGAACTTATTTACAAAACAGAAACAGACTTGCAGATTTTAAAAATGAACTTATGGGAACCAAAGGGGAAACTTGGTGGGGAGGGGTAAATTAAGAGCTTGGGATTAACATACACACAAACTACTATATTTAAAATAGATAATCAAAAATAAATAAATAAATAAAATAGGTAATCAACAAGGACCTACTGTATAGCACAGGGAACTCTACTCAATATTCTATGATAACCTATATGGGAAAAGGATCTGAAAGAGAATGAAAATATGTATGTATAACTGAATCACTATGCTGTATATATACCTAGAGCTGGGCTTCCCTGGTGGTTCAAATGGTAAAGAATCTGCCTGCAATGTAGGAGACCTGGGTTCAGTCCCTGGGTTAGGAAGATACCCTGGAGGAGGGAATGGCAACCCACTTCAGTATTCTTGCCTAGAGAATTCCATGGACAGAGGAGCCCAGTGGGCTACAGTCCATGGGTCACAAAGAGTCAGACTCGACTGAGCAACTAACACACACACATACCTGAAACTAACACAACATTGTAAATCAACAAGACTCCAATAAAAATTGTTTTAAATAATAAAGTGGCATCAACAAACTCAGCCATCAAGAGAATATTTTAATGCCATATATTTTTTAAATCAAATTAATGAGTTCAACTGATGCCGAAAAGTCCATGATGAACAAAAGATCAACATTTTAAATAAAGACAGGATCAGTAATGGTGCCAAGCCACATCAGAGGCTGAGGTAAAGGGAAAAGTAAGTCACAGAAACAATGAAGAGAGAGAGTTCAGAGCACGTGTTACCCTGCTCCCTCCCTACCAGGCTGCAGGCAGGCGGGCTAGGTCCCTCTCCCAGCACACTGGTGCGGCCTGCCCAGCAGCCCCTGTGGCAGTGGCACAGTTCTTCCCCCTCTGGGGAACCTCCCTCCCTGCCAGCTCAGGCTCACGTGGACAGTTTTAGCTGCTCCCTGCTGCAGCTTCTCCTAACATCTTCTCTTCCTTCACCCTGCCCACTCCTGGCCTCTCCGTGTATACTGTTCCTACATTAAACTCTTTAAAAAGTAGAAAGAAAGAAAGAAATGATGCAGGAAAAAATATTAAAATTCTAAAAATATCCCTAGAGAAGCTATTACACCCATGACACAAGAACCATAGGGGACTATTTTTTTAAGAAAAGAATAAACAGCTCGTGGAAATGAAAAATATGATAGTAGAAAAAAAATTGGTAACATTAAGAAAATAAGGTCGAGGAGACTTCCCTGATGGTCCAATGGCTAAGACTCTGTGCTCCCGGTGCAGAGGGCAGGGGTTTGATCCCTGGTCAAGGAACTAGATCCCCCATGCCACAACTAAGACTTTGCATGCTGTGATTAAAGAGCAAAGATCCCATGGGCTGCAACTAAGACCCAGCAAAGCCAAATAAATAAATACTAAAAAAAAAGAAAAAATCTTTTCTCAACCAATCTTTTCTGGTTGAGAAAATCTCCCAGAAAGTGGATCAACAACACCACTTTCAAGCCAACTAACAGACAAATAACAAAAAATGCAAAGGGATGGACAACAGAAGCGAGAAGAAAGTTTGGGAATCAATTTAGATAGACATCTAATCAAGGGGTCTGGAAGAAAGAATTAAATATGTAATAAGAGAGAAGATAGTCAAAGCAATAAAACAAGACGGTTTTCCAGAACTGGTGAATATAAGTGCCTGGGTTGAAATAGCCCATCAACTGTCCAGCACAGTGAAAGAGAAAAGTCAGGACAGGCACTTTTAGAAGGCTGGGGTTAACTTAAGGTAACACCCTGAAAGCTTCCGGGAAAGCAGTTATCTACTATGAGCATAAGCGCGACATCAGACACAACGGTGACATCAGAAGCCAGACGACCATGTGAGATGCCTGCAAACCCGTGAAGGAAGATTATTTTTAATCTAGAATTCTATATTCAGCCAAACCATCAATCAAGTGTGAGGATAGAATAAAGGCATTTTCAGACGTACAAGTTCTCCAAAGAATTTCTCTTCTTCTATAACCTTTCTCAGGAAGCTAAACAAATGAGGGAGCAAAGCAGGAAAGAAAAGACACAGGATCAAGAGGATAGGGCACCCAGCGAGGAGAGAGACGGAGTTCCAGGGTGGCTGCGGGCAGGCAGGCGAGCACCAGGCCAGGTTGGAGCAGTGTGACGACAGGAGAGAGATTCCAAAAAATAAAAATAAAAATGAGACAGGTTTGACTGTGCCAAAAATTATATTTGAGGCCAGTGAATGTTTAAGAATACATAGCCATGGACTTTCCTGGTGGTCCAGTGGTTAAGACTCAGTGCTTCAAGTGCAAGGAGATGTGGATTTGATTCCTAGTCAGAGAATTAAGAACACACATGATGCGCAGTGAAGTCAAAAGATTTTTTTTAAAAAATTTAATTAAAAAAAAAGAACATATACTGTTGGTAAATACAAAAATCTAAGCAACTAGGTGGGGGTGGGAGGCAGGAAAAGCAAAAATGATGCAAGAAAGGAAACAATGATAGTGCCCTGATTGGCTTAGTAGTGAACAATATTTACCTGATAAAGATAAAAAGCAGAGCCTATGGATTTAACAATATTGAGAGCATTAAACCACGTTTGGGGGAGTATACAGAAGGTGAATCTTCATCTACACAATGGGCAATCAACATATAATGTCTAAACAGATTTATCAAGAGGCAGCTGCATAAGCAAATTACTTAGAAACACACGGAGGTAACAGCCAGGTGAAAAGCTCAAAGTGGCATATTCTGAGCGAGGGGTGGGCAGGTCCAGAGCGGAGGGGCGGACGGCTGTGTTTTATTTTCTGATTTCAGCACTATTTGACCTTTTTGATTGCGTGTGCGTCTTGGATTTAAAAAACGAGTTATCGAAACATAAAGAAATGCCCATCCTCTTGTTGCTTCTCCTTCTGTAGTTTTTCTGCCACCTGAGAATCCACCCTCTTCACTTGCAGCCGTGGCCGCCTCTGCTCATGACCACGGGCATGCTCATACAGTCTCTCTCACACACTCACACTCATCACAGACACAGCAGCCCACGGTGACAGACACACAGGCAAATGTACATAATACACAGTAACCTTCAGACACACACGTGATTACAGATTCCCCCCAGACACAGAAGCCCCCATCAGCTCTTCTGTGGCCGCCGGGAAGCCGGCCAGCACTGCACAGTCTCCACGTCTTCCCTGCTTCACCAGCCCCAGGACTGCCCCAGGCAGAGGAGGTTTTCTTCGGCCACACCACTCTAATTGCCTTCTCTGCTCAGAGCGCCCTGCCCTGGGGTTGAGCAGTCACACCATTAACCCTGTGGGGCCACGTGGTCTGTAGATGGTACAGAAATGAGGTAGGCACAGGACCAGAGCTGGCAGTCAATGTGACTAGTAATAGCCACCTTCATTCTGCTTCTAGCGGAGGCCCTAAGACGTGGAAGAGTCCAGTGTCCTGAACCCTGTGGACATGCTGTGCATCCTTGAGTAAGTCACTGCACCTCTCTGAGTCCACAAGTCTCTGTGTCCCTCCAGCACTCACCACCACCCTGGTCCCGTTGTCCGGCAGTTTGTCAATGGCCAGGGTGCCCCCACCCAGGTCCTGGCTCAGCTGAGTCCTGTCCAGCTCCGACACCTGGCCAGGGCTCTCTCCGGCTCTCCGATTCCAGCCCCATGCGGTCCCCTGGGTGGCCCCTCCAGAGCCTTGGCCTGCATCCTGACCTGGGAGAAAGAGACAGAAAGCTGAGTCCTGGCAGAGTGAAGGCCGGAAGGGGGACCAGCCCGCTTATTCTGAGACGCGCTGACCCCCCTGATATCATCATTGACTCTGGGGACACCGACACCGGGTCAGGAGACACCCAGCATGCACCAAGCTCACCCCACAAACTTTGCACTCAGGACACTTGAGCCCTCACTCCAGCCCTCCACTGAAAATCTGATGCTCTCCATTTTTCCAACAGGAATCAGCAGCTCACAGACGTTAAAGAAGGTCATAGAGTAGATCAGGGATGGAGAGAAGTTTCAAACCCAGGCTGATCTGCCCCCAAAGGGTTGATTATTTTCAATCTCATTAGAATCATCTGGGAAGCTTTAAAAATTCCTGATGTTTGGATTCTCCACCCCAGAGATTCTGATGTAGTTAGTCTATGATGTGGCCTGTGCGTGAGGACTTTTAAATGATCCCCAGGGGAGTTTCTGAGATGCCCAGGACCTGACAAGGCAGACAAGGGTGAGAACAACTGCTCTAGTACTTTCCAAACCAATTCCCTATTTCTCTGCCAGAAATGGCACATAATCTCATCTTCCAAGGGACTCCAGGGACTAGAAGCCAGAGAGCAGAGTTATTTTAGTTCAGGGCTTCTCATCCTTGGTACCACTGACGTTTTGGACTGGATAATTCTTTGTTGTGGGGGACTGTCCCATGCATTGCAGGATTGCAGGATTTTTTAGCAGCATTCCTGGCCCCTACCCACTCGAAGCCAGTAGCACCTCCTCCCAGGTTGTGACAACTGAAGATGTTTCTATAGTGGGGAGCACTGTTGAGTTTTATCACTACCTTCAAACATCTTTGGCAAGTCACTTTCCCCATGGAACAAGGAGCTTTACAAATCCATCGAGGATAACAAATGGGTTTCATCTCAAAAGCCACCTCCAGTGGGTTAGTGGGAACCAGGAATGCTCTAATTGGGAAGAATTCTGAGGCTCCATTTGTGTTTAGCAGGAAAGATGGTCACAATCAATTGGCAATGTCTGCGGCGGGCACAGGATTGAAGAGTGGCTGCACCCAGGCCATCTAGCAGCCGTTCCTCGACTCAATCTTCTCTCCAGTTCCCTCTTGGTCATTAAATGTATTCCAAATGACACAGAAACCATGCTTTTCCATTTCAGAAAAAGACTTATGCATGCCCACAAAGATGTGTCTTATCCTGTTTCTCCAATTGCCACACCTACTATGGCCGTGTATATTTACCAGATGGGAGGAGCTGACATTCCCTGTGACCTCCATCAGTTTCAGGCCTGTGCTGTGTCAGATGCCCTGCCCCACCTGGTCCCCAGAGCTCCGGGAGGTAGCCTTCTCTCCTGCAGCACCCGCCAGAGGTCCAACTATGTGCCCACCTCCCTGGTAGACTTGGGCTCCCCCAGCACTCTGCCACCTACCGTAACTGCGTATCCTGGTGCCTAGCAAACAGTGGGTGCTCAGTCACTGCACAACTGAGGACATGATACTGGAGGTAACTTGGGAGCCAGCAAGGACAGAGGTTGAGAAAAGGCTTGGCCAGGACCAGGCCTGGGGCTAGGGCCAGGACTCTTTGCTGTGGGGCTCTGGTTTGTCATTAGACATTTTATCCAATTAAGTCATTCTTGGCTGCTGGCGCCTGCTGGATCCTTGCCGGCCCCCTCTCACTCCCCTGCCCCTAATCGCAACCAGATGCTCTGGAGAAGATAGGGAAAGGGTCGTCTCCAGACCCCTGCCCCAAGATGCCCACTGGCTGAGATGGACCTGAACCCAATACTGGGAAGGCAGCCTGCCTGTGGCTCGGACCCCAAGCCAGGGCTGTCTTGCCCCTCTCGGGTGGGGCCCACAGCTGCCTCTGGAGTCAGAACTATTTGTGCTGGGCTGCCCTGCCCAGCTCCCTGGGTCCTCCTGCAAGCAGCCCTCGGGCCTGGGCAGGAGCCAGAACAGGAAAGGAGCTTGTGCAGAACAAGCAGAGGAGCTTAGCTGGCCTGGAAAGGGATGCTAGGGATCTGCAGGCATCACAGTCCTGCATCCGAGACAGGAGGTGCCTGGATGGTGTGACCCGAGGCCTGGTGAGAGGGCCCCACCAGAAGTGCGGCCAGGGAGGGCACACCTGACACCCACAGGCTGTGTGACCTCGGACCCACCAGTCCACTTCTCTAAGTAGAAGTAGAAAATGGGAATGATAATTGTGCCTATGGCACAGGCCACCATGATCATACAGTAAGAAGCAAAAATAAGATTTTATACGTAGGAAGACTCAGGGCCAGGACCAGAGACCAAGTATCCAGGAAGGAGAAGGGCCAAGGGACAGAGAAGGAGGCCACCGAGGAATCTGCCCCGCCCTGACCTAACCCTGAATCTCGCCCTCCCAGCCCCCGCCACAACTGTCTCCCTGACACCCTGCCCCCTCCCGGTTGACTAGGATGGGACATCACTCCCTCAGCTTGCAGAAGGAATCAGCCCCAGCTGGCTTTGCACGTGTGTATGTAAGGGCCTATGTGCACACGCACACACGTGTCTGAAGGCCTGGGTCTTCCTCCTGTGGGTTCCAACCCCTGGCTACCACTGCTCTGCCCTCTTCCCAGCAGCCATCCCCTGCCTCTGCATGTGAGGGGACCCGCCTGTGAGCGATGCAAGAAGCTTCCAGAGCACAGCTAGTCATGCATTCATCCATTCCACCACCCATGACCCCAAGTAGCGAACAAGTCTAGTGTTTGCGCTGTGAGGGATAATAACAATAATAGCTCATTTCTAGAGAATGCGTACTCTGTACTGGCACTATTCCAAGGGTGGTACACCCACAACTCATTAAGTCCCCACAATCGCCTCATGAGAAGGGTGCTGTTGTAGATCCATTTTACAAACTGGGAAAGCCAGGCCATGTGACCAGTCCAGGGTTTGCACTCAGGCACAGCAGGTGCAGGTTTGCTCACACCACGGTACACCAGGGGACCGACCTGCCACGCTGTTTCCGAAGGTGCAGGGCAGCCCCAGGGCAGGATGCACGAGTGCCGTTGGGCCCAAACCTGGGAGGTTCCCTGGCAGACTGTACCCCTTGGAATGCCGAGGGGCAGCCCAGTAGCCATGCCCCAAACCTCTGCTGGTGCCGCTGCCCTGCTCCAGGGCAAGAAGCAATGCGCTGACTTTGGGAGGCCTGGTCACACCATCCCAGTGCCTGAGCCAAGCCACCTTCATCCCACCCATCACCCGAGCTTGCCATTCCAGCCCCATGGCCATCATTCAGTTGTGGCTGCCATCACCTCTTTCCTGGTGATGACTTCAGCCTCTACCCTTCATGCCCCTGGGCCGGTCTCCCACATGCCTGCCAGAACATCCTGTCCAAAGGAAAAACTCCATTCCATCCTTCCCGTGCTCCCCTCTTGCCATGACCCTTCGGCTGACAGCCCAGCTCTCCCACTCAGCACTGGAGCCCCTTCGTGATCAGATCCCTGCTGGCTTCTTCAGCCCCCTGTCTTCCTTTCCAGGACTCAGCCCCACTCTTTCTGGCCATGGGGCTTCACACAGGCAGTTTTCTCAGCCTAGATCACTCTGCTCCATAAATAAAGGGAGCTGATGAGCTCTTGCTCATCCTTCAAGTCTCACGAGATGTCACTTCTTCCCAGCGCCTTCTCTGACATTTCTGTGCCTCACCCCAAATGCTACGTGCATGGTCCCAGCCCTGATCCTGACAAATCACTGCTACCTGTGCAAGCACAAGCTCCAGGTGCTTGACATAGAGCAGCTGCTGGTCAAGCACACACAGGTGATGGATGGAAGGAAGGAAGGAAGGCATGTTTAAATTTTCAGAGCTCCTGAGACCCTTCCCTTGGGGCACAGCCTCACCAGAAACCCTCCTTGTTATCACAGCAATAAAAACACAAGTTTGGAATCAAATAAGCTTGAGATTGAACCTTGACTCTACCTCTTACTGACTATGACGTTGGACAAATTGCACAATCTCTCTAAGTTTCCTCCTCTGGAAAACAGAAATGATAAAACCTACACTTGGCAAGTCATTTTGCGAGTCTGTAACAAAATACTGTACACAAAGCATCCAGCAGGGTATTCCTGCCTTTCGTGGGTTTCGTATGAGGACCAGTTTTCCAAGGGGTCTGGGGAAGCCTCCAGACCCTGAAGTGAAATCCTGCCTCTCAGTTACAAAGCCGCCAACCTCACTCTCCCTCCTGCAGGCAGGCAGAGACCCACTGAGGACCCTGATCTGGGGAGAGAGAGGGAGGCATGAGGAAGGGGCAGGGAGGGATGACCAGTGGCTCAGAAGAAAAGAGGGGAAGAGAGAAGAAAAGAAGAACTTGCCTCTCTGAGTTTCTCTCAAAGGGACAGAATGGGGTCACAGACCCCATTCATTCTCTCACTAAATACACATTTATTGAGCCCCGTGTGCTGGGGGAGCTTCCCAGGTGGCAAGAGTGGTAAAGAACTCACCTGCCAATTCAGGAGACATAAGACACCCAAGTTCAATCCCTGGGTCGGGAAGATCCCCTGGAGGAGGGCATAGCAACCCACTCCAGTATTCTTGCCTGGAGAATCCCATGGATTGAGGAGCCTGGTGGGCCATGGACCATAGGGTCACAAAGACTCTGAAGCGACTTGGCACACACGCATATGTGCCAGGCACTGTGCTGAGTGCTGGGGCAAAAACAGCGAACAGGCAGACACAAGCCCTATGCCCATGAAGATTCTAGTCGGGAAAGACACATACAAAATGAACAATTCAGCCAGCAGGACAATGTGAGATGGTGAGAAGGACTGTGGAGGAAACAGAAGGACGGAAGGGTTGGGGGTTGTTTCTACTCTGGACAGGGGCCTCAGGAAGCCTCTCTCAGAGGGGGCCCTTGAGCTGACTAAGACCTGGATGAAGAGAAGCCAGTTACCTGGCGATCCCAGTGGACAGCAGCCTGAGTGATCTGGGGAGCAGACCCAGGCAGAGTGGAGCAGAGGTGGGGGTGGGGAGGGGCTGTCCAATGGCCACTGGGCAGAGCTTGGATTTCAGTCTCCATTTGTTTGAAGAGCCCTGGTGAGCAAGGAGAAGGCTGGAAGCAGAGTCAAGGCTCCAAGGGGCCCTAAAGGCAATCTGGTCCAAACCTCATTTTATGGATGGAGAATCCAAGGGGCAGAAAAAGGATAAAGCTGTCAGGGTCACCTAGGGTTGGAGCTGGGCCTGATCTGCTAATTCCCAGGACAGGATGCCACCTCCAGTGGCCTTTTCCTTCTCTGTCTGCTGTAGGCACTTCCAGTTTCACTCAGCCCAGACCCCAGAGTGCCCCCAGCTCCCACCATGCACCCTAGTATCTTCCTGTCTCCCCATCTGTCTATCAGCTTCTGTTGCTCTCCCTCCCCACCTACTGTATCTTTGGGTCGCTGATCTTTCTCCTGCTCCTGTTTTAATAATAGATGAAGTTTCAAGGTCAGTTCATCAAGAGGGAGGGGAGATCTCATCTCCCCCCTGAGCCCTGGCCCCCGTCCCCTGCCTCCCGCATCCCCCTTCCCGGCCTAGCACAGAGGACTTGGATCCTTGGGGCTGGATGGCAGCATCCGCCCCTCAGGTCCAGCCCCCAACTGCCCTCTCACCTGTCTCCAGGGCTCCACCACCCACCGGAGCAGCCCTCTTCCAGAGGGTCTCCCCCCACACCTGTTCTCCCTAGAAGACACCCCCTGCCTCCACACAGGGCCCCGCTCAAGCCCAGTCTGGTCGTTGTGAAAAAAAAAATCACGACTCAGAGTCAGCAGCTGCCCCCGCTGGCTTCCTTCAGGCTCACCAATCTCGCCTGCTGCAGAGAAAGTTCATTTCTCCTGGGTGAATCTGTCAAAGCTGAGTAGACAGGGTGTCCTCTGCTGAGAGATGTGATTCGAGTCTCTGCCTGCCCCTCTGCCAGCCCTCAGCCAGGCCTGGCTCTGGCCCCCGCATTGACCATCCTTGTTTCCTTCCAATGCCCTCTTCCCCACCCCTTTCCGTGGATCTCCCATCTCAGTCAGGTTCACAGCCATCCCTCATCAACCCAGTCATATCCAGAGTTCAGAAGATCCCATCAGGATGGGTTTGCCAAGGACCTCAAAAATTGACCTGTCCAACCCATTCCTTTTTATATTGACTTAATTTTTTTTTTTTTTTGCAATTACCCCACACACATCATAACAAGTCTGAAAAGGTAAGAGAGTCATAAAAAAGAAAAAATATCTCTCATAATTCCATAATCCCACAAAGATTTTGCCCACAGCCTCACTTTATAAGGGAGGAAACAGGCCCAGAGAAGGAAAGTAACTTGCTCAAGGTCACACAGCAAGCAAGACGTTGGAACTAGAAGTGAAGTCTCTTGATGCCACCTCTAGTGGCCTTTTCCTTCTCTGTCTGCTGTAGGCACTTCCAGTTTCACTCAGCCCAGACCCCAGAGTGCCCCCAGCTCCCACCATGCACCCTAGTATCTTCCTGTCTCCCCATCTGTCTATCAGCTTCTGTTGATCTCCCTCCCCACCTACTGTATCTTTGGGTCGCTGATCTTTCTCCTGCTCCTGTTTTAATGATAGATGAAGTTTCAAGGTCAGTTCATCAAGAGGGAGGGGAGATCTCATCTCCCCCCTGAGCCCTGGCCCCCGTCCCCTGCCTCCCGCATCCCCCTTCCCGGCCTAGCACAGAGGACTTGGATCCTTGGGGCTGGATGGCAGCATCCGCCCCTCAGGTCCAGCCCCCAACTGCCCTCTCACCTGTCTCCAGGGCTCCACCACCCACCAGAGCAGCCCTCTTCCAGAGGGTCTCCCCCCACACCTGTTCTCCCTAGAAGACACCCCCTGCCTCCACACAGGGCCCCGCTCAAGCCCAGTCTGGTCGTTGTGAAAAAAAAAATCACGACTCAGAGTCAGCAGCTGCCCCCGCTGGCTTCCTTCAGGCTCACCAATCTCGCCTGCTGCAGAGAAAGTTCATTTCTCCTGGGTGAATCTGTCAAAGCTGAGTAGACAGGGTGTCCTCTGCTGAGAGATGTGATTCGAGTCTCTGCCTGCCCCTCTGCCAGCCCTCAGCCAGGCCTGGCTCTGGCCCCCGCATTGACCATCCTTGTTTCCTTCCAATGCCCTCTTCCCCACCCCTTTCCGTGGATCTCCCATCTCAGTCAGGTTCACAGCCATCCCTCATCAACCCAGTCATATCCAGAGTTCAGAAGATCCCATCAGGATGGGTTTGCCAAGGACCTCAAAAATTGACCTGTCCAACCCATTCCTTTTTATATTGACTTAATTTTTTTTTTTTTTTGCAATTACCCCACACACATCATAACAAATCTGAAAAGGTAAGAGAGTCATAAAAAAGAAAAAATATCTCTCATAATTCCATAATCCCACAAAGATTTTGCCCACAGCCTCACTTTATAAGGGAGGAAACAGGCCCAGAGAAGGAAAGTAACTTGCTCAAGGTCACAGAGCAAGCAAGATGTTGGAACTAGAAGTGAAGTCTCTGGCCGCCGTCTGTCTCTTTTTCTCTCTGAAAACTGGTGGTTTTGCACCAGCAGCCTCTTGCCACCTCAGCTTCTGCTGCCCTCTGCCCACACTCTCCCTCTCAACAGGAACCCGGGCCTGTCTCAACTATATTCAGGAACCATTAAAGTCAAGAATGCCGCCACTGATGCTGTGCCTGATGCCCGCAGGCCCCTGAGACAGCAGCCCAACTACAGCATCCCCCTGGACAAACTCTCCACCTGCTCCATCCCACCCTGGGGGACATCTATGCCTGTGAGGCACGGAACTCTGTCTTCCCAATTCTCTCTGTCAAGAGGCTTGACTGCAATCACCCACCTCCCCAACCCCAGAGAATGCCTGCATACATGAGGAAGAAAGGAGAATGCAAAATTACTTGTTGAAAAATGGTTCTTCTTTACAACAGGAGAGACTCAAGGTAGATCTCAGAAAGGACTTCCAGGTGGGAGAATGATTGCAGAGACCTGCTGTGAGGAAGGTAGGACACCCCACCCTCCTAATCTAGAGCCAGAACAGCTACAGGCCAAGGGCCACCAGGGCAGAGTTAGAGCAAGAGTGACTGGCGGACCCTAGAGGCTGGGGGTGGGGAAGCAGCAAGTTGCTTCTTTCTGGGCCCAGCGCGGCTCTTCAAGTACCAAACAGAGAGGAGAGGGCGTCAGGCTCCCCACTGCCCTTGCTGGAGGAGAGATGGTGGGTCTCCTCCATCCTCCAGGCTGCTGCCATTCAGCCCCCAGACTGGGTCAGCTTGGGAGTGGAGGCAGGGGAGAGAAAAAGGAAACAAAACTGAGGCAAGAGACATCCCAGATTCCGCATCTCATCAGAATTCAGCCTCACCCAGTGTGGCCAGGGGTCCCTGTGACTCTCCCACCGTCCCGTTTGGGGCCAAAGCCCAATGCCTTATGGATTCCCTCTCCACTGGGGTCCCTCCAGTGTCCTTCCAGGAGGGAAGGAGAAATCGGGGCATCGGTGTCTGATCTTCCACCCTCACTCACACACNGGGGGAGGGGGGTGGCGGGAGGAGGAGGGGGACAGGGCGGGGAACCCTCGGGCTGGGAGAACCCCCGAAGAGCATCAGCTACCCCTACACCGCACCTTAGCTCCTGCCTGCCTTCCCCTCCTCCACTCCCTGGGGGAAAGCGGTGGAGCGAAGGCTAGAAGGGCCAGAGCCCAGCAAGGGACAGCGGGCGCCCCTTCCTCAGACCCTGGGCTCCTACCATCCGCCCCCGACCCATTTCCACCAGGCTTCCCGACTTTCTGGGCTGTTGCACGGAGTAGTGTAGGGATCTGACGCCCACCCCCACCCCAGGAGTCTGCCCTTGCAGCAGAGGCCTGAATTCCACGCCCTCTTATGGCTTCTCTCCACTTTATCCCACCCCGCAGACATGGTGATGGAGAGACCTGGATCGTCCCTACTTTGAAATAACCTGGACTTCTTCCCACCCCCGGAAAGTAACTGAGGTCACCCTCCTCTTTGGGGACCCCAGACCTCCACAGGGCCCGACCCAATCAGAGGAGAGCAAGGAAACGTCTCACCCCAACTGCCACCACCTTATAAGCAGGCTCTGGGAATAGATCACTTTTTTTTTTTTACCCTACCAGAACAGAATAAAAATACCTTCAATTTAGGAGATTTAATAGATGGCAGGGAATCAGGTCAGGACCCGGAGGTGCCTCTTCCCTCCTCGACCTACTTGGTGCGGAGGCAAGGAGATCCCGCGCTGGATGGAGGGAGAATGGGGGTGAAGGGGACGCTGGGGCCCTAAAGACTAATCTTTCAGAATCCCAGTTCCTTCTTCCTCAGGACCCAGGGTCCCAGAACCGACCTCCTTTAGCCCCACGTCCCCTAATCACTTAGAATGGGACACGGTTAGGCCTGTCTGTAAGTTCTTCTTCTTGTCTCATTTAAATTGCGGTTTGGCCAACTCTCAGGATCAAAAAGGCTGCTGCTTCCAGCTGCGGCTTCTTGCTGCCCTCTAGTGTCCACGTGACGAGCTGCAACGCGCGTGTTTTGCGGTTTTCCGCGATTTTCCAGACCAGCCTCCGCGCTGAGAGTATCTCCGACTCCAGCCAGGCGGGTTCACATCTCCTTGCCCCTACCTTCCGAGAGGTCTAGGTGAGAGGACCCAGGACGGAATTTCAGCTCCGGCGCTGATCTTTTTGAACAGTCCCCTGTCCGGGATGCCCCGTGCGCGGTCTGTTTTAAAAAGATCTCTTAATAAAGGACTCAGGCTGAAACAGCAACTTGGAAATAATTAGAAGCAAATGACGTGTCAATTTTTTTTAATGTAAGCTTCTAGAACTTGAGTGTACATCAGAATCACCTGGGGGGCTTATAAAACACAGATTTCTGGGAGCCACCCCCAAGTACTACAGTTCTGAGGCCGAGAATACGTATTTCTAACACGTTCCCAGCTGGTGGTGCTGTTCTCAATAACACATTTTGAGAAACTCTGCTCTTAAGTTTCTGTTGCTGTCTCGCCATTCCTCATCTTGCCCAAAATAGAAGTGGTGAAGTAAACATCAACACAAAATCGTGGAAATAGAAAGCTGTAAGAAACGCAGTGGCTGGAGAATCCGAATTTGGATTCTTAAAAATGTACACAAGGGGGCACCCGGATTTGAACCGGGGACCTCTTGATCTGCAGTCAAATGCTCTACCACTGAGCTATACCCCCTCTGCTGGTAGCCTTCCTGCGGATGACTTCTTAGTGCTACTCCAGCGCAGGCGCTGTGCCTGCGTCCATAAACGGAAGTGGAATCCAGTATTTTCAAGAGACAGAGAGACTATAAATCTCAAAAGACTACTTATCTGAATGCAGAGTTTGTTTCCTGCAACTCTGAACTAAAGGATTCTAATGATGTAAGAAAAAGCAATTGGTTACTGCGGCAGGGGATGTTCCTCACTTCCCCTAGATCTCTCACTTCCTGGACCTTCTTTTGGGCCTGGGTCCGCCTTTCCTGCCTTGTTAGAGCGCCCCTAGCGTTTATCTTGGCGCCCATCTCTCTCCTACACGCTCACAGACACCTCCAGTCCTTTCTGTCCCAGCCCAAGCCTGGCCCTTAGGAATTCAGTCTGTCTTCCAACAGCAGTTGAGATCCCGGGACACGTAGACCTGCGTGCGGGCGCTCACGCCTCCACCCCATCAGGAGAGTGGGCCTTTGTACAGCCCCCAAGAGGCTGAGGGCGTGGCTTGGCAGGACCTGGGTCTCCACCTTGATCGCCGACAGAAGAGGTCTGCAACATTGAAGGACACTTCCCCTTTATCCTGTAAGGGAACTTCAGTAGGAGCACTGCAGGACTAAGAAACAGGGGAAGGGAAAAAAAAAAACCTACGCCTTAGAGGGGGCACCCGGATTTGAACCGGGGACCTCTTGATCTGCAGTCAAATGCTCTACCACTGAGCTATACCCCCGTGGTACCGCTACTACTTGCCACTTAAGGTGAATTTCTACAGAATAAGGAACAATTGATTTTTTTTTACCTACTGTGTTTTTTGTAGCTAACCTGATGGAAGGAACACGGCATCTAAATGGAGATGTTTAGACCTCCTGAATTCTTCCCCCCCATCATTCTTTATGGAAACCACAGGGTTAAGAAATCCTGATCCCACTATATCTGTGTCCAGATATCTGTGTATATCTCACAGCGTTGTGCACTTCCTGACTTCGGAAGAGAACAGACCCACTGACCTCAGGACCATCCCAGGTTTTCTGGGGGTAATAGCACTGCTCCCCGTACAGGACAGGCAGCCTGGGTTTCCATCCTGTTTCCAGCTCTACTTTGATGGGACTCCTGGGCTTTTCCAACCCCTAAAGCCTCCTACTGCCCTCCTTCCCCTAGGCCCAGGCAGAGCCCAGAGCTCTGAGTGCTGGCAAACCTGGTGTTAGTCACCTGGCAGAGGGCCATAGAGCCCAGGACCGAAGAACCAGTCCCCATATAGACCCTTGAGGCAGCCCCTTTCCATTTCCTAGGTGGATTTCCCCTGCCAGAGAACTTTGATTGAAATTGAAAGTCAGTTTTGAGGTGCAGCCAAAGGAGCATGCAGAAATAAAAAGTGAGCAGTTTTCAATGGCATTTATTACACCTTCATAAAATTCCTGCTATGGTGTGGGGGAAAAAAATCACTACAAAAAGACAAGCTAAACAAATGCTATAGGAATCTGGGATATTGGGAGGAGTGGGATTCACACTGGGAGGACACTGGGAGTGAAGGGGTAGCTTAAAGCTCAAAAGCTGTGGTCAGACCCAGCATCTCAGAGGGAACGCATAGGTGAGGGAGCAGTGGAACCCCCTGCAATATGAGGAAGTGTCTCTGACTGGAAGGTCCTGTCCTCCACCCTCTCCCCTCTCAGGTTTTGGCTCTGCCCTCCTTCCTCTGAGCCAGCCCCTTCACCTTTCTGGAATCTCCTTTGATGGAAGTGTATGGGACAAAGACGGCTAAGGGGCCAGAAAGCTGGAGTGGGGATTAAGGGCTTGGGGTAGAGGTCTAGGAAATAAAGAACAATTCCAGGGGTCTCTTACTCTGCCCTCCATTTTTCCTACAGAGAGGCTGAGGGCTGAGGGAGAGGGCTCCACTTCCTAATCCCCCAACACATCCAACAGCTTCCCTGGTGTCTCTAAGAAGGATGCCTGCTTCCATGCAGTGAAGGGCAGCTTTTTCTGCTGTCCTGCCTGCAGCAACTCAGGGTGCTCTGTCTAGCTCCTCAGTGGGGAGGTTGGGTGGGCAGTGGCAGTCTCACCATCCATAGATGCCCCTGGTCACTAGAGTGTCATAGAAAAATAATAAATAGTCACTTGGGTTTTCTACCCACATAGTCCATGCAAAACCCTCCAAATTTCTGGTTGGCCTCAGGCTGGGACATCAATTGGCAGTGGCCCGAGACTGCATCCACTGCAGCCCAGCAGGCAGCCTGGAGGAGGGAAGAACAGAGCAAGGATCAGCATACCCCATGAGGCTGATGGCCTCCCCAGCCCCCAGCCCCACCCAGAGCTGACTGCTGGAACGCCCAAATTTATATCCAGTTTTGCATTCAGTTAACAAATATAAATGAACCGTGCAATGGGTATTATGCGAGGGGTTACTGGTGAAAAAATAGACATGCCCTCTAGGGCTTACAGTCTAGCAGAGGAGATAGATATTAAACAAATGATCAAACAAATAATTGTATAACTACATACTGTGATAATGTTTAGAAAGGAGATGTACAGAGACCTCTGGATTTGGGAGTCAGGGAGGGCTTCTTGGACAAAGAGGCCTGGAGACCCACCTTAGCAATGTCTTTGGGCAAGCCTCCAATGCCACCTTCCCCCCGCTCCATCATTGGGTCAGTGCCAGGGTGGCTTCAAAGGCCTGCAAAGAGGCTCCATAAGCAAGTTCTTTCATTAGACTGTGAGCAACTCCTAGCAAAAATGGGGTCTTGGTCATGTCTGTATCACTTGACACAGTGCATGGCACATGAGGGTTACTTAGGAAATGCTGATTGAATTGAACTGAATATGGGTTGGAGACAGGGGCGGGGGGCTCCTCCTGACCCAGGAGTTAGAAGGACATGGCCAGAAATATGTGATTCCTTGGGCTGGCCTGCCTAAAGTCTCCCCTTCTTCAACTGGATATCCAAGCCCCTAACCCACAGTGACTCCACTTGAGAGGGAAGAGGGAAGAGGGAAGAGGACAGGCCTGATTCAAGACCCTTTCTGTGTGACCATGACCTAGCTCCTTCACATCCTCAGATGTTCAATCAGCAGCTCTCTTCTCAGCAGCCCCTCCCTGGACACATTATCTAAAATTGCAACATTCTCCCCAACATACATCCAACTTCCCTTTCCTATTGATGTTTCCCCTTCACACTTATCACTTTTTAACTTACTGTACATTTTTCTTATTTTTATTGTTCAGTGTCTCTTTCTCCCCTCCTGGAAAATAAGCACCGTGAGGGCAGGGATTTCTATCTGTTTTGTTCACTACTTTTTCTCAGGTGTCTAGAACAGTGCCTGGAACAAAGAACAGTCATTTCTCTGTATCCATGGAGTTCCAGGGTTCCAGGTCCCCTGCAGACATCAAAATTCTCAGACATTCAAGCCCCTTGTATAAAGTGGCATATATTTACATATAACCTAGTCACTGATTTAAATCAGTACTTTAAATCAACTCTAGACTACTTATAATACCTAATATATTATAAATGCTATGTAAAAAGTGGTAAATATAATACAAATGCTATGTAAATCATTGCTAGCACATGACAAATTCAATTTTCACTTTTTGGAATTTTCTGGCTTTTTTTTTTCTGAATATTTCCAATCTACAGTTGGTTAAATCTGAGGATGTGAAACCCATGGATATGGAGGAACAACTGTAGATTCCCAGTGAATGTTAAATGAATGATATCATTTATTCTCTTCGGAAACACTGGGAGTAAACAGGTTTCTTTACAGATAAGGAAACCCAAGGCCAGAGTCAGTGATTTCCGCCTGGAAGGCTTGTCCCCCAGGTCTTCCCTTGGTTGTCTCTTCACTCAGGTCTCAGTTCAGAAGTCACCTCCTAGTAGACATGGTCCCTTGACCACTAGAGCTCTAGCAAACCCATCCCTGTTATTCAATTTCACTTTCTTCATAGCACTTCTCAGTACCGAAAATGTTTGTGTCTGACTGGAGTGTCACCTCTCTCCCCACTAGAACAAGCCCCTGGGACAGCAGAGACACTGTCTTGCTCACTGCTTACCCACAGCATCTTAACTGTGGGTGGGTGTTCAGCTGTCTTGACCCAGATGCTAAGGGATGCTATGAGTCAGATTCTGACAGGAGAGAGACAAGAGAAGTTTCTGATGGTCAGCTGGTTGGGAGAGGCTCTGAAGGTCCAGGTAGGACAGCCACTAACCCTTCCCCGGTGAGGGCACAACAGCCCTGTATGTGCCACGGGTGGTCTTTGATGGCACCAAGGGTGAGGAACTGGGAGATCTCCACGATGGTCATGGAGTCCTTCATGTCCTGCTTATTGGCAAAGATGAGGATGGAAGCATCTCGTAGAGCCTGTGGACAGAGGAACCCAGCCCCAGTCAGCCTGTCAGGACCCAGCCGCCCTTCTCACTGCCCCATGAGCCCTCTCTATCTCTCCTGCTTTCCTAGCAAGACAGGCCCATGCCCAGGTGGGGCAAGGAGGGAGGCCCGGCCCAACAGTAACAACCACAGGAAACGACACCAACAGTTCATGGAGTGCCTCTCAACCAGCTCATAAAATCCTTACAATGATCCCAGGAGGTAGGAATTGATGACCTTTCCCACTTATATTGTACTTGGGGAAATTGAGAATTAGAGAAGTGCAGTAACTTGTGTGGGGTCCCACCACAGTGAGTGAGAAGTGAGGTCAGGACTCGCACTTGCAACTCTGAATTCTGTGATCAGTTGTGCTGAAGGTGTTATTGCCCTTCATCTGGAATAATCTTGCCCTGCCCAAGCTGCTAGGATAGAGGTGCTCAGAGACTGGGGCATCAGTAATGATGCTCAGGAAGCTGTGTGAGTAGAGCTCACACAGCTAGTAGTAGAGCTACTAGCTAGTAGCTAGTGCCCTGGGTCCTCCCCCAACTGCAGGGAGCATACCTCATGGGCCAGCATCTTGTACAGCTCCTCTCGAGTGGTCAGCAGCCGATCCCGGTCTGTGCTGTCAATCACAAGGATGATGAACTGGCCAGCAGAGGGAAGTTGTGAGTGATGACACACACATTCATTTATCCCATGAATATGTCTCTTCCTACTTTACTCTGCCTTGATGTGAGCCCCACAGAAAACAAACTGTCCAGTCTCAAGACCTCACTGCCCTCGTCCCATTTGAATTCACTTTTTATCCAGACCCAGGCTGGACAAAGCACAACTTCTGATTGTGTGCCAAAGGTTATGCCAAGTCCTAGGCATTGTGACTCCACTTGGGTCTCGCCACAATCTTATGGAACTGGAACTGTTACTATCCCCATTTACAAAAGAGGAGACTGAAGGTCAGTGAGGTGATGCAGTGTATCTTGCCCTCAGCCATACAGTGGTAGCGCTGGAGCTTGAAATCAGCTCTCACTCCAGGAATGAAACCACTGGATTCTGCTGCTGCCAGAGTGAGAAAGTAAGGCCCCCCAGAGACAAAGAGCTTACCCCATCCAATGCATCAAACAGAAAGCTGCCAGCAAGCAAACAAAACTGCCGGAAGTTTTTCAAAATTTTTACCGGGCTTTTTGTTGCTTTAGTTTTTCGTCCCTTTTGATTTGGTTTTTTTTTATTTTTTTATTTTTCTTAAAACTTCTTGGGTTTTTTTTTTTTTTAATTCTTTGGTCAAGTTGCATGGCATGTGGGCTCTTAGTTCCCCAACCAGGGATTAAACCCACACCCACTGCAGAAGAAGCACAGAGTCTTAAACACTGGACCACCAGGGAAGTCCCAGAGAGGTCATTATTACAGTCTTCATCTCACAGTGGGGGAACCAAGGCTCAGAGAGGTTAAGTGACTGGCTAATATCACACAGCTCAGCTCCTCCAGCCCAGGCGCCTCCTCACCTCAGTGTTGGAGTAGTATGTGTTCCAGGTGGAGCGCAGAGCCTCCTGTCCTCCTATGTCCCACATGAGGAAGTGGGTCTTTTGCAGAACAATCTCCTCCACGTTACTACCGATGGTGGGACATGTATGGATCACCTCATTTGTCAGGCTAGGGAGGTAGGAGAGGGCACCAACCATTCAGCCCAGTTCACTGTCAGCTCTCAACCCCACCTTAAGTCAGGCTGAATCTAACTCAGAGCAACTCAGCCCAGGTTGACGGAGCCTCTGCTGGGGATGAGGGAATGCAGACAGGAGTGAGATCAAGTCCTGCTTGACTTGGACCCCAAAGAGGGGAGACTCATTAGAACAGTCTCCCCCAACTTTAATACGCAGCTGAGTCTTGCTAAACTGCAGATTCTGGTCAGGAGGGTATGGACTGGGGCCCAGCGTTTTGCATTTCTAACAAGCTTCCAGCTAATGTCAACGCTGCCAGTCTGTGGACCACAGATTGAGTAGCAAGGGACTGAAAAAGGGGACAGACATAAGTGAGGGCCTTCAGAGAGGGGCTTTGTTTAAAATGACTTAGAAAAAACACATGTTTTTATATGTAGGAAATACCTCTGGAAAACCTGAAACACAAAATGGAAAGTTAGGGGTGAGAGGGAACCTTACTATATATATACTCATGTTGTTTGAATTTCTCTTCTCTTCTAACTTCTCTTTTCTTCAGGAAAAATTATACTTTTTCAGGGAAAATTTTCCTAAGTAAATACTCTGGAAGTTCCAAACAGGAGAGGTGCCATCCAGAGAGTGAATATCGGAAAAAGCATAAGTGCCAGACTCTGCTAGACCAGGACCTACAGAATCCAGCCAGACCCAAAGCTGGCACTCCCTTTTGCTCTGAAAGCGAGTGAGTGAAGTCGCTCAGTCGTGTCCGACTCTTTGCGACCCCATGGACTGTAGCCTTACCAGGCTCCTCCGTCCATGGGATTTTCCAGGCAAGAATACTGGAGTGGGTTGCCATTTCCTTCTCCAGTCTGAAAAGGGACTGAAGGGGGGAGAAAAAATGAAGACACAAGGCTGGGATGCCGGAGTTAGCAGAGACCTGACGCTAGGGGGGGGCGAAGCAGGAGATCATCGGTCAGGTTTGGACAGTTTTAAGCCCACAGCCGGCTTCGGCAGGGACCGCGGGTAGATGGGGGGGAGCAGTTGGGTTGCTCATACCGAGCAGGATTCTAACGCCTGGCCGAGAAGCCACTGAACTGAGGGGCCCCTGTTTCAGGAAGGTCACTCCTTCGCTCCGCCTGTCTGTTCTCCCGGCTACAAGAAGACCCAGGAAAAGGCTCCGGTGATTGGTCCAAATGCCTGTCAGTCTGGTGGGAAGGCCCAGCCCCCTCCCCATCCGAGAGTCACTTACAGCTGGTAGAGAATGGTGGTCTTCCCTGCATTGTCCAGTCCCACGATGATAACCTTGTGCTCTGGAGGAATTCGGGGGAAGGGCAGGGTCAGTGCCAAACCCGATGACCAAGGGATTTACTCATGTGCCTCTTACCCCGTTCCCCGAAGATGCTCATCAGCTTGGCCATCAGCTGTCCCATGGCACGTCCCGATCCAGACGGGGCTAGGACTCGGGGGGACTTGGGGGCCCAGGTCGAGCCCAGGTGCTTGGAGCCCCGCCCCCTGGGGAAGGCTCTCACAGCTTTGCCTATGAGGTCTCCGAAGCCCCGCGAGTCTGTCCCCTACGGGGCCTGGGAATCCCCTGGGACACTGGCCCCAGGAGGGCACCATGGACCTCACAGGGACAATCAGCAACCTGTCCAGAGCCCTGGAGATGCAAGGAAAACGGGGTCCAGAATTTACATCCTCCCCCTCACCCTGAGGAAACCCCTGAGTTCTGTGGGTGGACTAGTCTCACCTGCAAATCAAGAAACCTAGAACAGGGGCCCACACTAGATGCCAGCTCTCCCTTCTCCAAGTGCCATGTCTGGGGCACTCAAAACAAGCAAAACCTTAAGCTACCCACCTTCTGTAGCTACTAGCTGTGTGAGGCAGAGAGGGCTCATGCATCCTCTCTGAGCTGGGAGGATGTTCCAGCCCTCAACAGGTCTCCAGTTGTTTCATCAACGTGGGCCTTTAGGCTCCTTCAAGTGAGCTCCCTTAGGCAGGGCTGGGTGTCCTCTCCTTCTGCAGGCTCCTTGGTGATGGGCAACTCCTAGGAGTAAAGCAGGGCTGCTCCCATGATTTGCTGGCAAACCACCTGCTTGGGCATAGCTTTCTGATTCCCAGGAGTGGGCATCTGAAGATAGGGATGGAGCAAAAACAGAGAGCCTTCAGCCGAGACCCTACAAAGGGGTCCAGTATACTGAGATCCAGCGAAGGAGAGCCCGCGTCAGGAGAGAATCAGGCTGGAGGAGACGGAGGAAGGGGGGAACTGCTTGTTGTTGTTTGTGTGTGAATTTCCTTCTTTGCATAAACTGGGGGAAACCAGAAGACAAAAGGAGATGTGAAGAAAGCAAACCAACATCAGGCGGAGGGGGCAGTTAAGAGAAACCCATCACCACACAAGAGACTCAGCTTCTTCCAGTCCACTGCCACTGCCCACCTACAGCCCATCAGTGCTCCTGTCCCCCAAGAGAACAACTCTTTAACTGGTCTCCTTGCCTCCCCTTTACCTAGAGCATCCTCCTCACAGCCCTATTAACCTTTCTCAAGCACAGCTCAGAGTCTGTTACTCCACAGCTCATAAACCTTCAATGGCTCCCTGTTGCCCCCTGGATTCAGACCCATCTCCTCACCTGACATTGAAGAATCCCCAAGAACAACATCCCACCTGCTTTTGCGGGTCATCCCCCATGCTTTGCCTCCATGGTTCTTGCCCACACGTGCCCAACTATGATTTTGCCTCTGTGTTTCCTCCATCTGAGTGCCTTACATGTTCTCAGAAAGGTGAGTTCCTAAATCCCTTGAAGTGCCCACTACCGAAGCCACCTACTTCCCAAGCCCTGGCCTGGTTCTCCAGTCAAATGGGGCTTCCTTTCTACACTGAGATGATAACTGGCCTGTCTGCTTTCTCCAATCAACTGTGAGTCCTAGAGGGCAGGGTCATGTCTCTCTCACCTGTGTATTCCCCACGGTCCACTCCCATCAGCACCGAGCCAGTGCACAGTGGGGATGTGTTGCTTTTGGACTGAAGGGCTATAAGCTAAATTACAGCCTGAGAAATGGTGCTTGGAGTATTAAAAAAGGAGTATGAACGCACGTTGAAGAGGACTGAGGAAGATTGGGTAGTTTGTGGAGAGAAGAGGGAAGAGTTCACTGAATACAGAATTTTCATCCCACCCGGAGTGTTGCCCAGAGTTAGGTGGAGGGAGAATTGACTACCAGAGCCCATTTAGGCTGATTCCATTTCAGCACCAGTTAAAAATGAACTGGGCTGTGCCGGGGTAGGGTAGGGTAGCGACTCAGAAATGTGCTAGGAGAAGCAGCAATATTTAAAGCATTTTCACCATCTGTTTCCTGGGGGGGAGTTGGAGGGTTGGAAGAGGGAAGGAACCTCTTAGTGCACCCTGCCCCCACCATCAATTGCAGAATTGAAAGTGACTCGTTTCTGCTCACTGGAGCACATTCAGTAAACAGACAAGAGCTGCCTCTGCTGTGAGGCCCAGAGGTAGGATCTGCAGGGGGCACTCATTCATTTATTCATTCATTTGATGAATGTGAGTCAGGAATTAGAAACATGCCAAGCAGACAAAACAGGCCCTGTCCAGGTCTTATGGAGCTTGCCATCTAGTTAGGGAGACAAATATACGCACCCATAAAACAACTAAAAAAGAGACAGTGGGGGGAAGGCCTGATTTAGAAGGGAGCCAAGGCACACTTGTCTGCGGATGGGATTACTGGGCTAAGATGAGATTTTTCTTGAGGGTACTGAGCTGGAAACCACCCCATCTTCTGCCCTGCTCCCAGGTCCTGGTGGTCACAACTCAGCTCTCATTTTTTAGCATGAGGGAAACCTTCAACCTCTCTGACGTCAGCTCACTTTGGGGCAGAAACTACTGAAAAGACAGAAGCAGCTGGTCAGGGAGGGAGGTAGGAGGTGTCCCCAGCATCTCAGTTCCTGAGTCCCTGAGGTGGCTGTGGTAGGAGCATCAGCCTCTCTGGGCCTAGTCCCAACCGATTTCATGGGCGTTGAAATCCTCACTTGTTGACAAACCACCAACATGCTTATTGTGTGATGATTGAGGGTTGGTGGTTACCAAGAGACAAGAATCTCTCTCCCCTCATCTGTCAATATCTCCAAACCACCTAGAAATGCCCCTGCCTGCAAGTTCCGGGCGAATGCAATTTCAAGCAAAGGCATGTAGTAAAAAGACAGAAACATACTTGGACACCTGATTCTTCCTGCCCCGCACCCCTCCCCATGCAGAAACCAGGGCATCCTGGGCCAGGGGAATCAGCACAAGACTTGGATCTCAGTTCAAGGCCTTGCTTTATGGCTGTGTAGCTATGGACAAACTGCTTAAACTCACAGAGCTTTATCTGTAAACTGAAGCTAATGACCCCTGCCTTTGATTGAAAATACCAGAATCTACTGCAGATGGAGTTCTCTGTGGAGCCCCAGATGGAGCCTGTTTTCTGCTCTTTCCCTCTTGGATGTCCTCCCCCAGGAGGAGCTGTCTGCAGCTCCCACTTAGACTTGGGCCCACTTTGTCCAAAACTAATGTCTGCCTCTAACCTGGTTTTTTCACTTGCTTCCTCTATGTCTGGGAAGACCATCACCCACAGTCACCCACATGCCTCCCTCTCTCTCACTAGCCACCTCCAATTGTTCTCCAAGAACTCTCAGTCCTAAACACTATTTGTCTCTTGCAGCCAACCGCCTCCTTACCTGTTTCACTGCAAACCCTCATTTCTCACTCGGAGCACTGCAGCTGTTTCCCAGCTAGGCCGCCTCAAATCTATGCTCCTGTGACCCCACTCTTCCCTTCACCTTGAGAGCACCCTTTGCTAGTGAAGTGTCAAGAATGTGTCATGCATGCCACTTGCTTCCTCTGCCTGGAACACTTTCCCTCATTCTCTGCAGGTTAACTCCTAACCAACCTTCTAGACTCTGCTTAAGACTCACCTCCTCCAGGAAGCCCTTCCTGATCTCCCCAGGTTAAGGCAGGGACTTCTCTTTCAGGTTCCCCTAGGACCCATTGCTTCCCATATCAGAGAGCTCCCTTGTGAACTATCTGCTGCTCCCACTTAAGACTTGTGCCTGGTACACAGTAGATGCTCAATAAATGTTTGCTCAATGAACAAACACGGGAAAGAAAGGTTGATTCCACTGCAAGGCAAGGGGAACAGCACCACAATGGGAAACAGAATGGGCTCCAGTCCCAGCAGTGCTGGCTTTGCCATCACCTCCCTGTTGACCATGAGCCAGTCACTCAACCTGTGGGCCTGTCCGGTTCCTCTTTCCTTGGATTTGCTAACCCCTCATTTGGAGAGTCTGAATGTCCATTGCCCTCTATACACACACACACACATGCACACACACACAGACACACATGCACACTCTGGACAGGATTATCTGGGCCTACTACCCCAAAAACAAGAACCAGAAGAGTGGAGAAATGGTTTCTGGGTGCTGTGTGAGGCAGGCAAGTCCACATCCTGCCAGGTGATGACAGCAGGGACTGTCACTCTCACCCACTGACTTTCTTCCTGGCTTTTCCCCTTTCTTTCAGTCTGGGACTGGGGGAGTTCCCAATTCTCTACCCACCCCCACCCCCCCACAAACAGACCTCCTTGTCTCTCACAAGGCTAGTTAGCAGTGAGTGGGGTGAGGGTTGTCCTGGAGGCGTCAGTGGGGGAAGCCGGAAGTTCAGCCCTTCCCTCCCTGAGGAGCCCGGGAGCAGCGGAGGCCACAGGAGCAGAATAACACACATGCTTCGAACAGTGAGCCAGTGGCTCTGGATCTGACCTCCTGAATGACATCCAGGACACTCCACTTCCCTCTAGTTTCCGGTTTTCCCTGGCTCGTCTTATGGGGAGACAGGACAGGTATGGGGCTTGGGGCGGAGTGGAGCTGAGACTGGCCACGCAGCTCCTGTCAGGCTTGAGCATGATGTGTCAGAGTCGCAAGTCAAAGCACCATGTCTCCGGCTGAGCGAATCACTCCGGGCGCAGCTGACTCCCGTGCCCACCGCTTCACTCTCCCTCCCTGCAGGTCAGCCGCTCCCACACACCTAGGCTGGCCACCTAGGAGTGGCGAGTGATGGGGCCAAAGAAACAGGCCTGGGAGGCGGCACAAAGGACAGGACGGCGGTTTTATATGTGGCAAAATACTTCTAGGGTCGTACAGACGAACAGACAGACAGATGGGGGCACAGGACACCAGACAGGAAAGGGGAAAGGTTGGGCAGTGGTCTCTTCTAACCAGTAAGTGGAAGCTGCACCCCACCCCAGGTGGGGGGGTGGGGTGGGACGACATTGGCACAGGAGGTGGCGAGACAGGCGTGAGGTGCCCATCCCTGAGGCGGGCAGCCGGGCAGGGCCCAGTCCTCGTTGGCACAATCGGCTCTCTCTGGCCCAGCTGGGTGCTGGGGGGCAGGGCTGCTGGGCTATGGGATGCTAGGCAGAGGGACACTCCAGAGCAGAGGGGGTACCAAGGCCTCTCCTGGGTGGAGTGGACATGGGTAAAGGACAGGATCACAAGAGGCAAATACAGAGCAGCAGCAGCAGCAGCCAAGCCCCCCACCCGCCCCCAGGGGAGATCTGACGTCCAGAGGCAACCCCTGGGGTGGTGATTAACTCTGGGGTACCAACCATAGGGCCTCTTCCCTGGGGCCTCAGGGTGAGAGTGAAGCAGTTTTTTTGGTTTCAAAATGAGGCGGATCAGTGTTCCATGGGCCCAGGTGACGAGAGGATGGGGGGGGGGGCTCAGATGCAGAGGGGCCCCCTCTTCTGATGGCAGCAGGCAAGGGATGTGGTAGGCAAAGCTCATTCCTGGGGTAGGCAAAGGCTTGAGGCATGGAGGTGGTGGGACGGGGAGCAGCATCTGGGGTGGCCTCCTCCTCAGGGCTCTAGGTCCTGGGCAGGCACAGGGCACTACACCTGACGCCTGCCAGCATCTACCCAGACCATTCCGTGAGACAGCTCCCCATGGGGCTTCCAGTGCTGTAGCTTTCGCCTCCCAGACAATGAAGCCAGGAAGCTGCGGGCAGGTGCTGGGGGCAGGGCTCATGGTAAAGGACGCTGGATCTGGGGTTTGGGGAAAGAGAGCCCTCATGGGAAAGAGTCTGTGGTCTCCCTCTCCAGGAAAAGCCCCTCGCCCCCAGGGGAGATCTGACGTCCAGAGGCAACCCCTGGGGTGGTGATTAACTCTGGGGTACCAACCATAGGGCCTCTTCCCTGGGGCCTCAGGGTGAGAGTGAAGCAGTTTTTTTGGTTTCAAAATGAGGCGGATCAGTGTTCCATGGGCCCAGGTGACGAGAGGATGGGGGGGGGGGCTCAGATGCAGAGGGGCCCCCTCTTCTGATGGCAGCAGGCAAGGGATGTGGTAGGCAAAGCTCATTCCTGGGGTAGGCAAAGGCTTGAGGCATGGAGGTGGTGGGACGGGGAGCAGCATCTGGGGTGGCCTCCTCCTCAGGGCTCTAGGTCCTGGGCAGGCACAGGGCACTACACCTGACGCCTGCCAGCATCTACCCAGACCATTCCGTGAGACAGCTCCCCATGGGGCTTCCAGTGCTGTAGCTTTCGCCTCCCAGACAATGAAGCCAGGAAGCTGCGGGCAGGTGCTGGGGGCAGGGCTCATGGTAAGGGACGTTGGATCTGGGGTTTGGGGAAAGAGAGCCCTCATGGGAAAGAGTCTGTGGTCTCCCTCTCCAGGAAAAGCCCCTCCCCCCCATTCCCAAATACTCCAGGTTGGAAAAAGAAAGGGCCACACCCTTTTAGGGCCCTCATTTAAAGCCTGGAGTAGGAGTTAAGGAAGTGCACCTTTTCTCTGGGTGAGGGGAGAGAGCCCCCTGAGGTGGAGAAGGGGATACTGCAGAAAGGTGGGCATCCTCCATCCATCCACAGCAAGTAGGTAAAAACTTGCCGCTGAGGCTTAAGGGACTCCCAGGAGCTGGGTGGAAGGGTACCACCAAAGAAACTCCACACTGAGCAAAGGCATCTGAAAGGAGGGAGACAGCGCCCCCTGGAGGCAAGATACACCTCCGTGGTGAGCCCCCCGTCCCTCCCCTCCCTTGGGCTCAAGAGCCCTTCCTCCCACTGTGTAGCCCCTGCCCCTCAGCGGATGTAGACGCCCCGCCCCCAACCCTCCAGCTCGTTCTTGTTGCGCCCCAGAACTGGGCCCCCGCCCTCCGCGCAGTAGCGGGCCTTATTCCGGCCGCGGTTCCGGTTGTCGGTTAGCTCCTCTTCATAGTCTTCTTCCTCATCCTCCCAGGATCCCTGTCGGACTGGTGGGGTGCTGCCCCCTGCAGGGTCTCCAAGCCCTGGCCCCTCGGAGGGGTCAGTCTCCATGTCCACACACGAGTCTCCCAGCTCCGTGTAGGCAGAGTTTCGGTTGCCAGGGGTGTCGGCATCAAACGTGTCTTGGCGGGACAGTGCCCGCAGGGTGCCCGCCCGGCCTGGCGGGTGGCTGCTGGGGTAAAGGCCTGGGGGCTGGCCCAGCTCTCCCGGGTACTCGTGCACACTGGCGTGCTCCCCCGTGGCCCGTTCCAGCGACTGGTCCCCGGAAGCAAGGTAGGGTCCCTGGTTAGCAGACAGACGGTACACACCATGCAGATCAGGCAGGAGTGAGAGAAACACAACAAAGCAAGGCAGGTTAGTGACGGCACCAAGACACCCAGCCTGGCTGAAGGAGGAGGGTGCTGGCCCTAGGGGGTGGGCAGCTGGGCAACCGGCTCTGGAGCCCAGCCAGAGGACAGAACTCAAGGCATTTGTTCTTCCATTAGGAGAGGGGGCACCCGACCTTCTTAGGTGTGAGAAGGCATGACTCTCCTGGTAATCATGGTAGAGAGCCCATGAACAATTAGTCGTCACTTCCTTAAGGCACTCATTAACACTGTCTTGGGCTAAATCATCATTAAGAGCACATTAGTATTGCCACTTGTTAGTGGTTGATTGGGTTAGTCGTTGCCCCAAATATACTAAAGAGAATTTCATACAGCTCCTTCAGCCCAATGGGACCCTAATCATAGGCGTCCAGAACTCCACACGTCCCCCTACTCCACTCTTGAGTCAGGTGACAGTCTCCAAGGTTGATAGGATTCCTCCCCTGTCCTCAACAGACTCAAAACGTCAGGCTGGGGAAGGCTGCTGCTGCTAAGTCGCTTCAGTTGTGTCTGACTCTGTTTGCGACCCCATAGACGGCAGCCCACCAGGCTCCTCTGTCCCTGGGATACTCCAGGCAAGAATATTGGAGTGGGTTGCCATTTCCTTCTCCAATGCATGCATGCATGCTAAGTGGTTTCAGTTGTGTCCGACTCTGTGCAACCCTATGGACAGGAGCCCACCAGGCGTCTCTGTCCATGGGATTCTCTAGGCAAGAATACTGGGGAAGGCTGATGAGTCTCTATTCCCCACTGGCAACGATGAGATGGCTCATTGTCCTCAGCACCAATGTCACATGAAGATGGCCACGGAGGCTGCTGGGTGGGGTGCCAGTGGGGTTCTAGTGCATCCCCTGCCACTTCAAGCTGTGTAAACCCTGAGCAGTGACTCCCATCTCAGTGGCCCAGTTTCTCTGTGGGGCTGTGATGGGGATTAGGCTACAGCAGCAATTTTCATTCCCTGGAGTTCTGGGGTGGGTGGACAGGACAGAGAGAGCTTCAGGGGTCCCCGTGGAGGTAAAGTGGAGGCCACGCCACTAGCCCTCTCCAAGCAGAGCAAGGATGCCTTGTTTACACACTGAACTTCCCATAAGATTCAGTGAACAAATGGGTTCTGGTGCCGAAAACAAATTTGAAAAGCAGTGGTCTAGAATGATTTCCTGGGTTTCTTCTGGCTCTAATCCAGAACTTAATGGTTTGACTTCAGAGATAGGCCATGGCTCCCATGGGAGATCAAGGTAGGGTGGGGCACCCACAGGAGGATCTTCCCTGGAATCTGTTTAACTGGGAGAAGGGTGGAAGGTTCTATATCAACTCATAGAATATGCTTCATTGTGGGTCTCTTCTGAGAACTCCTGGAGATTAGGACTCTGGAGCAGGGGGCAGTCTCTCGGATTTTAATGGCCCTACTCTGTGGGACTCCCTGGGTCTGAGGGCTGTTGGTCTGTTGCATCTAAAATGCTGTGACCTCTGTTGAGTCTAAAACGGGTGTAGAATCCAGCAAACGTACATTGGTTTTCCTCTGTTCTTCCTAGTCTCATCTTACAAGGAACCCAAAGCAGAAGCCCCCAAGGCAGCGGATATAGTCTTATGGGACCAGGCCCAGATAGGCCCCACCAGCTAGCCCCAACCCCATCAAAAACCACAGACACCAGAAGCTGCCACTCACCACATTTTTTACAAAATAAAACTTTTCCCTTCCTTCCCCAAGTTCCCTGCACTCAGTTCCCAAGCCCGGGGCGGGAGGGGAGATGGGCGGGGCACCTACACAGTGTGCTCCTGCTGCTGGGGCACCGCCCTGGCTCGCTGTGAGGCCTCTAACCCGCCCCAGAAGCTGAGATTTCTCCTGAGTGAGGTGAGCACCTGTACCTGGAGGTTGGAGACAGGGGCAGGGCTGGCAGCCAGGGCTGCAGTAGCCATGGTGCGGTTCAGCAGCGGATTGGGCGGAGTGCTGCTGGGCGGGTGTGTAGCCTTCCAATAGGCTTCCAAGTACTCTGCCAAGTGCTCGCAGGCGTCCTCCAATTGGTTCTCATCCAGGATGATGTCAAACATCTCCTGTGGAGGCGGGGTTAAGGGCAGGGCTGGGATGAGCTGGGCGTGACCAAGGGGTGAGGGTGTGGACTGGGGGCAGTGGGTGGAGTCGAGGGGTTGAAGGACAAAGTTAAAAAGAAATCTCTGGATGTTCAGGAAGAGGAGGGCTCTCAGATATGTAAATTAAATATATATAAGGATCAATTCTAGGCCTTTTGGCTAAGATCAAGTGTAAATATATATAACGAGATCTTGGCACCTAGATATTACAGCTCCCTCATTCTATATATAAGGTAGCCAAGGCGTGGAGAGGGGCCTAACTCTCCATAGAGAAGTGGTGCTTCTGGGACTTAAACACAGTCTCTAACTGCCTGTCCAGCCCTCTTTTCCCAGAAAATCCATCTGCACCTCTGGACTGGATCCAGGTGTTCCTGGTCACTCTCTCGGCAGGCCAGAGGAAACCAGGAGAACCCAAATGCCCTCCCTTCCCTTTGAGCACTCACGGGGGGACACTGCGCCAGTTTCTCTGAGGCCGCTATTTGGACGTTGAGGTGTTTGGACTGAGACTTCCCTCGAGACTTGATGAGCCTCTGAAGAACCTGTTTGGTAGGGGGAAAAGAGGGGCTAGAGGGACCCTGCAAAGCACCAACCTGGAGAGTCAGGTCCTGGTTGGAGCCAACGTGGAGAGACAGTATCAGGGCCGGGGGAACATTCCATGACGCTCAGCCCTGGATGCCTTTTCAGAAATGACCTCACCAGCCCTGTGTCCATCCTACACAAAGCTCAGGCTCTCTCCTGGGTCTCATGCCAGCCTCTCCTGGGACATTCCAACGGTAATTGTATGAAGGGCAGTGATTCTCCTTCCCAACCCCTGTAACCTTCATTACAGGTTTCATTCATTCTCTGAGTCAACTTCCCCTCCATGTTAATAACAGGCAGCCGTCCTTTATAGGGACACTTGCTATGCCTTGGCACTGGTCTGTGCTTTTTTTCATTTTGTTGTTGTTATTTAGTTGATAAGTCGTGTCCGACTCTTCTGCGACCCCATGGACTTATAGCCCGCCAGGCTCCTCTGTCCATGGATTTTCTAGGCAAGAATACTGGAGTGGGTTGCCATTCCCTTCTCCCGGGATCCTCCCGACCTAGGAAACAAACCCATGACTTGCACATTGCCAGCCAGATGCTTTACCACTGTGCCACCAGGAAAGTCCTTTTTTTCATTTAGTCCTGACAATAATGCCATTAGGCAGCCACAATTATAATCCTTATCTCAATGATAACAATAATAATGATGATAATAGCTAAACATAAAGCTACAACCTTAATTAAGTGGTCAAAATTAACAATACCAACAATACAACAAACCAACATCCTTTG